TCTAAAATTTACTACAGAGTCCCTTCATTCTGTGCCTCCTCATCTATGCTGCTCAATGACTTCTGAACACATGCTACCATTTGCATTGTCCTTGAACCCAATGAAATACTAACCATAAATACTGAAATGATGAATCACAATTAATAGGTAGCAAAAATATCAGACATAAGGTATAAGCACTCGTTGCCTTTACATAATTACATGCATGAGACACAAAATCTTTCAGCCCCTCTCAAGGAGAGATCTTGTCCACAAGCTCAGCTCCATCTGTTTTCCAAAGCTCAGTGTTTCTTTGCTATATTTGTCCCCAAACACTCCTCAGGACCAACAGACCATCACAGAACAGGTAACCACCCCCCTGTAAATCAGCCCACTTCCAGATGAGTCCTGCATAAGCTCTCCTACCCCCCTGTTTGGTTTCCAACTGGCCTGCCAGTAACACGGGAGCCATGTCCATGACCTAGCTCACCTCATTATTAGGGCTAATCCTGTCCTGCTGAAAGCCATTAGGTGGCAGCATTAGTGTGTCCAGAGTGCTGCATTCACAAATTAAAATTCAAAACCAACCACGCATGCCACTGGGAATTCTATTCAACTGTACACAGGGCCTGAACGTCAGCCTGCAGCCAGCTTCTGAAAGGTTATCAGCAGTGACTTATGCTGCAATGAACTGTGCTTTCTTTTCTTTTTCTAATTCCCAATGGGTCCTTTGTTTTGTTTAATTAAGAGTTAAAAGATTTGAGTAACTACTGAGTCTGATTAGCGTGCAGATAATATAATAATCTCAGCAAAATCACTCTAAAATAATGCTTGATTTAGAAAACCAGTAAACCATTCAAAGGGTTTTGATCTCTATTTATTAGAGATATTCAGGATATCCTCCTACACTTACTGTTCACATAGCTGAAACACCAGCATTTTAGCTGATCTTATGCCCCATGTTCTACCACAAAATCTTGCTATTTAAACTACCACATGGTATCATCAGTTGAAGTAAAGCCTTCAGAATAATCTATATTCTTGTTAAAATCCTGTTTCTACTTATTTGCAATCAATTCTCACCTGCAAAGAAGTTGGGGGAAAAAAGAAAAAGAAGAAACCTTACCAATCTTAATGAAAATCACTGCCACTGCTTGGGATACTTATAGTGAAAGCAGGTATTAAGCAGAATACATCAGAAGCATCACAACACACTTCCCCAGTATTGCACAGATCAACAAAAATACTACGAATAAGAGAGAGAGAGATGTTGTGGCCACAAGAAATATGCTGTTGATTGTATGCTTACAATTCATGTGATTGTAAGCAATCTTCACTTCTCTGCCCCTTGAGAATGTATTCTCATTATGATGTTCTTCTACTCATCACATGCTTCAACAGCAATTAAACTGGACATTGCCAGTGTATTCGAACAGCTGACCTGCAAAAGCATCAAAGCTGCCCAACTGTTCCAAATGAGAAATGAAGAACTAAGCCCAATTTTCGCTGCTAAAATTAGAGACATGATTATTACTAATAGAGACCTTTTTTAAATGCCTTTATCAATAAACCAGAAAAACATGAGAGTCTGTCAGAGAAACATTTCCAACATTCACCTACAGATATGACTGATACCTGCAAAAGACACCATCAACTTATCTTTTATGGATAAGAATGAATTTGAGGGGGGAAAAATAGATTAAATGAAACCAGGGAAAACATTTTCTTTCACTGCTGCAACAGTTAAGAGAATTACCTTGATATATCCCAGTGGAGACAGCACAGACATGAAGAAAATGCTCCACGGATCATCAAATGCCAAGTCAGACAGAAAATTTGTGATTCTCGAGTTCACTTCCTGTAAGCTGAATACATCAAGATTACTTTTCCTGCACTGACTTCTTTACAACATGCTGAATTCTGGCTAACACACATCAAAATGAACATGCTCTTGGTGCCAACAAAGCATCTCTCTTCTAAGTCAGTGACTCTACTGCAGAAAGTCAATTTTGCAGTAAACTCACAACGTAAGTTAACATTACTTTAACATTTACTTACCCTATAACATACATATCCATAGCTGGGCTCAGGGAATCGAGCTGAAGTAAACTGCTGACATCAGGAGGTGGAGAAGCTGTGCCCACATTCCAGGTCACTAAATGTAGTCTACAAACAAACAACATCACAGAAAACCAGTGCTAAAACTGAAATGCAAACAGAATTTCTACTGATAGAGAACTGTATTTATTAACCAGCATTCAAACCGACACAAAGCTGAAAACGCCAAGACAACCAACTGGAGGGAACGTAACCTGAATTCTCGCCACTTGTCCTTCATTTTTTTCCCCCAGATAAGGAAAGCTTCATCTAGAGTGCGAGACACTTCTTCGTGCACCTCGTCATCGGAGCTGATGTCCTCTACACAAGCCATCAGCTGGGCCACGCGCTGCCGCAGCTGCAGGCGGCCGCTGGACCCTGTGCTGCTGACACTCGCGGAACGGCTGCGGAAGGGGTGCAGGCTTTCTAAATCATGCAGGGAAAGGGCTGCTGAGTCCTGAAATGCATCTTCGCTACCAAAGGATGCCATTTGCTCAAGAGAAAGTAACTAAGCTCTGAAGCTCCAGCCCATTCAGATCCTCGCTGTAAAGGAGGCAGAAGGCTAAGGGTCTTTCAGATCAAGCTTTCGCTCATGTGAAATTCAGCATTCTTCTCGTGCAGGAGGAGAAATGCAGATGTGGCACCGTAGCACTATCACCACACTCAAAGGCTTGTTACAAAAGCTGCAGCCACATCCTACCTCACACACCGAATTGTTTCCCCCTAGTAGATTTAATGTGGTTAATTCTATAAGCTCAAGATTTAAAAGAACTTACTGTTGCTTTGAATCGATCACGTGCCTTCACCCGCAGGTTAGTACAAACATAATCTCCAGCTTCCAAGTATCAAGCACACACTTCCAACCAAAAGCAAACTTGCTGCTCCTCTCAACTACCATCAAAACACACGTATTCTGGTTCTGTTTTCAGTAAGATGGTAATTTTTATTATCAGAGCTTTTAAAAAGGAATTCACTTTACCATCAGTTTCATTACAAATGAACCTTAAAAAAATATATACATATATACACACACACTAAGACGTTTACCATCTGCCTTAAAGGACCCTACAAACACTGCTAGAAGGTTAAATAATGAATCCCAAAATGACACCCCTTATTAGAGCAGTATTTTTATGTCCCGCTCGACTTCCCACTCAAGGTGACACACAGCATATGTGGAAGAGACCTCGCGTCCCTCACTGAGCCAATGAGCCACAGTTCCTCTCCACAACAGTTTCTCTTTATATGCCACAGTCAGCCAAAAGCTATTCTAGAACAAATTCCTCATGGAAAAAAAAAAAAAAAGGTCAGTAACGCTGCAGACCTCATCCTGCTGTCAAAGAGATGTACCTCTGGGGAACTCTGTCAATTAATTTCTTCAGATAATTATCTGAGGAAACAAAACTGAATTAACGCTTCAGCCACCAGTCATTATAGGTGGAAATTCAATTCAAAACGTCCAGTATCCACACTAGGAATAAGAATCACAGAACCATAGAAAGGTTTCGGTTGGAAGGGACTCCAAGGATCATCAAGTTCCAACCCCCTGCCACGCACAGGGCCACCATCCTCCAGACCTGGTACCAGTGGAGGCTGCCTAAGGCTCCATCCAATCTGGCCTTGAACACCTCCAGGGATGGGGCATCCACAGCCTCTCTGGGCTCCTGTTCCAGCACCTCACCACTCTCCCTCTCTATGAAGAACTTCCCCTGACATCCAATCTAAACATTCCCTCCTTGAGCTTGAAACCATTAAAGAACACGAGAAAGACTATAGCAAAAGTTTCAAGTACGTCCTTATATGAAAACTCACTTTCATTGTAGATCAGGACTACACACGCAGGAAAAACGTACGGTTAAGATTGCATGCACCTCTGCGAGGCAATTAACCGTGAGCATCCCCAGGGCTGGATCTGCTGTGTGAGCAGATACACAGCACACACGGACCTTCCCACAGGGAAGGCAGCACCCAAAGCCCCGTGAGCTGTTGGAGCACGAGCAAGGAGCCAAGGCAGCACGCATCGTCCCCAACTCCTGCAACGATCAAACAGCACAGCTTTCTTTAGCCTAAACGCTATGCTAGGGGGAGTCTTAACACCTCCAAGTAAACGGTTGCGGGGTTGTTTCTTTCCCCTGTTTTTAGAAATATTTTTCCTCTCACGGGTAGCCACTCAAATACCCTTTCAGCAGAAGCTCTCTTTAGCCACAAGTCACCAACAAGACGCAGTGAAAGGCAGAGCTCTCCTCACGCCCTGTCCTCACAGCGCCGAGCCCCGCGCTCCTCACACGCCGCTTTCCCGCCTTCCCGCCCCGGACCCCCACTGCTCACCGCCCCCCCCCCCCCCCCCCCCCCCCCCCCCCCCCCCCCCCAGCCCTTTCCATCCCCAACCTTTTCAAATCAGCTTTTCTGCTGTATTTCATGTGACCGCATAACCCCCCCAAGCCCTGTAACTCTCTGTTAAGAAGCACGATTCGCTAATTCTGAGGTAATTAACTAAAGACTTAACTACTTTTCTCCCGAAAAGCCGCACTCGGATACTCGCCCCCCCACCACCCAAAGCGCTCACCTCAGTTCTCTCACAGCGTCTCGCTGCGTCGAAGAATGCTGCACCGATTCCATGCCCGTCGCCGCCGCCAGGGATCCGGTCTGGAAGCGCTCCGAGGGGCACCGGGAAGCTGCCGGCCTCCCCCGGCCCAGCGCGGGGCCTCCGCCGCCGCCCCGCTGCCTCAGCGCTCCTCTGGGCTCCTATTGGCCCGCGTGACGGGGAAGGGCGGGGCCGGGACAGCGCCACGGCTTGCGGGAGCGCCCCCACGCGGCCGGGAGGACCGCCGCCGCGTTGACGGCGCTTTGCGGACGCTTTGCAACGAGGGTAAGCGCTACAGCCGCCCCCCAGCCCCCAAAAGAAAGAGTGCGGAGGCGGAAAGCTCTGTCTAGTATTTTTATTAGATTTCGTTTCCAATATGCCTGTATTGGAAGATTAGGAGACAAAAAAGGCACAAACTCACATTGAAAGAAACAACGAGATCATCTAACCCATTTCTACGGAGTGTGTGTTGCCAAAGGAAAGAGCACAATGAACCGATCGGGGGGAGGCCCAGGGGGGACGAACCCAGAGGGGTGCAGCGTGGGGGGCGACGGGCACCGCTGGCGCACCGACCAGACCCAGGCTGCAGCGAGGTTCCTGCCCCAGCCCGACCCCACGCAGCAGGGATCGGGGCACAGCACAACCACGGCCCCAAAGCAGAGCAGCAGCCCAGTGAAACACCTCGGGGACACGGCGGGTTAGGGGGGCCGTCCAAAATCCATCACAGATGCAGCAACCACGGTGCCGCGGCACCTTCGCTCTGCTCGCCCGTGGGAACCAAGCATTGAGAGTGGAAGGTCCTTGCAGGGTTTGTCTGTCCTCAGGCTGAGGGATGCTTGCGCTTGGGATTAAATTGGAAGGAAAAAAAGCAAAAGAGGAGGAGTGTGACAGGAAGAGTCAGGTTGGAGTTTCTGCATTTTTTCCCAGTTTTGCCACTAATCAGGAAAGCTTTGTGTAAAAGCTCTTACGATAAAATCAGAGGATCAAAAAAGGATTGCAGGGTGGAATGTTACAATCTGCTTCCACGGCGATTAGTGGCATCAGATGGAAAGCCTCTTGGGTAACACAAATTTAAAGAACAAGCGTGCTGTGTATTCTCAGGTTGTCCTCAAGTGCAAGAATCCCTCAGCACGTAAGCGACAAACATCAACAAAGTCAGTGCAGAAATTCTCAGTTAAAAATACTTTAAGCTGAAGAAACTTTAAAGCGGGGCCTACAGTCCTGGAATAATTCTGGAACAGCTACAGGAGATGTCATGAAACATCCTGGTCCCAAATAGCCTTACAGATTAAAATTTAGTATCTTCATCTATTTTACAATAAATTTTAGTTCTGCCTGGTGACATTGATAAAATCCCTCACCCCTCCCCACCCCGCAAAGCCATGTGAGGTCACTGAGAAGAGCCTGCCAGAGTTACTGGTACAATTCAGAGCTTATTGCACTTAGACATGAGTAAGGCAAAATAACAAACTAAAAATAAAGGGATAAACTGCCCCCTCCCCAGAAACCAGAAGCCATCCTCTCCCTCCAGAGCGTGCACCATCTTACCTCGCACCAAAACCAGGCCAGATCCTGGCACATCCCTGCTCAGCACAGCCCTGGGTTATTGCAGGAGCTCCTGCTTGCAGGGACATGAAGGGCTGAAGGAGCTGGATGTACTGCAGAGTGCCAAACAGACTTCTCAAGAGTGGCAGTACACCTGTGTCTGTTTGGCATTCTGTATTCCCTGTCAGTGCTGCCAAGTACAGAAGTGGAAGATAGAGCTACCCTTGGGAATAAATAAAACCAAATATTGGGCCTTACACATAAGCAAGGAAATTCATGTTCTCTCATACGTATTTAATAAAGCAGCATTTCTTTGATTCTGTTCTGCTTATTTGATTGTCTAAAGCTGATATCAACATACAGTTAGTTACAGTAAGTATTTGAGTTCACTGAACACCCAGAGCTCTTCACATGAGTTAGCAGTATCCTTTGCAGTTTAAAACAACTGACAGATAACTTGGAAAACAACTGCAGGTCTCTCCTAAGTTGCTTTTCTACAGCATGAAGGGAGATGTTTTAATCTGTCTTGCAATGGGAAGAGTATTATTGCTGAGCAGAACCACTGACCCAGGCACCTGAACGCATTCAGATACCGCAACTTCTCTTGCACATCAGCTTTTTGCTACATTTCAATTTGTCCAGGGAGAATCGCACTATTATTAGTCAAAATAATTAAAGTTTTTTCAGTTACAAGAAGTCTTGAGTAAAGAACAAACCAGGAAGTTGCAACACATGTCAGGCAACTTGTTGTAATTATTCCGTAAGACTGACACACAAGCTGAAGGACAACGTAGCTACAGGGCCAGAGAGACCACGTACCACTACACTGAAGTTCAACAGTCACCTGCTGAAGGCCCTAGCATGGAGATGCTGAGCACAGGCTTCTAATCAGTCTTGAATTCTTGTGTGCTAAGACAGAACAAAGTAATGCCGTGCAGAAGCCACATGTCATGATATATTCATCGCAGACCAAGAACTATATCTGGCTACTCCTGATTATGTATTCAGATCACATGCCGTTAAATTTGCTACCCTGGGAGCAAGGGTTAGAGTCTATCATTTTATGGAATAGTTTTGCACTCTAAAATGCTGACAGTTTCCCTCTCCGAACAGACATTCAAAGAATGGTGAAGGGCTGGGCAGAACAAAGGTGGCAGTTTATCCCAGTTGGAAAAAATAATAATTAAAAAAAAAGAAAAAAAAAAAAATCTAAGTCACCACATCACAAGACTATTTTAGCTAAAAATGTCACTTGGAAATCAAACAGGGCCACGTGGAAATTGGTCTGAACACAATGAAAAAAAGGAGGGAGGAGTCGTAAATACAGCGATCTCTAAGTCACACGTCTCCAAGGAGCTGCCTCCTTCACATACGTGCTAACATTGGAGTGCTTGGTACCAGACGGTCTATTTGCTCACAATATTAAAGGGCATCTAGAATTAGCTATGGGAGATTTAAAATCGCCTGCCGATTGGATATAGAAAGGCTTGATCCAGAGATGGTCCGTCAGTCAAAGAGTGTGGATTCCCCAGGCCTTCCTGATGACTGTCTTGCAAACTGAAGTAAAGAGACAACAGGAAAACATTTTAGAGCTACTTTGGAAGCCTGGTTTTCCACATGTAGAGGGAGACTGAACCTTCAGAAAGCAAATGTGAGACATTGTCACCAGTTCTGTGCCCTAGCATAGTAAGGCACTGCTTATGAGTTATAACCCAGCACAATGCTTACAACACTGACGAGTGATTTGGCCAGCAAATACAAATTCAGGTATGCTCTCCAGTATAACAGCCTTGTCTCTCCCAGGTTAGCATACTCATAATGAAATACATGAAAAATCAGTAAAAAAAAATTAAAGCCATCATTGCTTCTTCTTTCCCTGCGATGTGCAAGTGGTTGCTCTAAGCCTTGGTCCATTCCTAAACATCATTAAGATGCAATGCCAGACACATCCATTCTAAATGCAATTACAAGGGATTTGCAGTTCCTAAGTGCATTCCAAGTATTTGCAGGCACAACTTCTGCTTCAAGTCATAGAAACACGTGTATTACTGAAATAAGAACATCAGTAGAATTTACAGAATGTTCCAGAACATTTTTCTTACACTTTTCACCCAAATATTTCCTTAGAACATTCCTTCAGAATAATTCTGAAAGAAAACAAGAGTTTTGTCAAACTCTCTTGATACCTACAGTGCACAAGGAAGAAGTCACGTTAGTCATCTGCAGCTGTCATTCCTTTCACTGGATCTTTTTCTCTCATCTGAAAGAGGAAAAAAATATTCAAGTATTCATTCTCACATGATGCGATCTCTAAATTTATTGGTGTTGAAAAGGTTTAGTGTCCCTACTTTACGTAAGACTATTAATACCACAGCATCACACAACAGTTTCTGTGATTGTGCACATCCAGGAACAATTTAAGTTGCAGGTCTGCTAGGATCTGGAACCACCATCTAAAGGGAAGAATGAATGTGAAATTACCCTGAGGTGTGTGAAGGAAGGCAATGGGGCAGCACAGGACACAAATCATGGGGCCAATGGACTCATTAAAATCAAATTTGTGTTTCTCATAGTAAGGAACCAGTGATACACCCCACTACCTGCTTAGAATACTTAGAGCTAAAAATGCTTTCAGTGAACTTCTTTTTGGAAACCAGGACAAACACGTCTGCTCAGATTTAAGCAAGTGCTAAAAGAAAGTATTAACGTGATAAATAAATCATTGACACTCATACCCTCATTACCTGTGGGTCACTGTGTTTATTGGCTTAACAAGCTGAGAAGTCCCTAATGATTCGAAGGAGATGCCAGCACAACTGAGTCATAGCCAATTATTCAAACCACAAGAAGCATGACCTAAATAACAGGAGGACAATACGCACTGTGCTGTGACAATGCCGCAGTCTTTCCTCCATACTGGATAGAAACAGTTCCTCACACAACCCACACGTGCCCTGCTTTTCCACTGACCTCATCCAGCTGTCTCTTGGTCTCGTCCTCCATCCTACGGATGTCCTCCATAGTCAGATCAACCCACTTATCAAGCCAGCAAAAGAGCTGCCGATGGAAGTTTGTGAAGAGACGCTTTTCTTGCTGCAAGAGGAGGAGGAATGAAACAAAGCAAACTTATCCATAGGGCAATTAACGTGGATCTACCCAGATCTCAACTTTCAGAGATGCATTCACTGAAGAACCATTTCCCTAACCTACCTTTCTACATAGCCACCAAAACTGGAGACTGGTGCTAGCTCAGTTTTATTCATTTTAAACAGAATATTTAGAGCCTTGAATTCCTCATAGAAATGCACTTTTTTTTTCAAGCCTAGGCAGCAGCCTACACAGTGCCTTGAAAAAATCAGTGAACGCTTTACTAGTTTCCTTTGATTTGATGGCATTGTTTTGACTGAATAAAGCACTCTAGGCTTGGCTTACTCATAACAAGATAGTTGGCCTGAAGGAGCATAAAAAAGGGAAACAGAATAAAAATAATTCTTGACTTGCTAAAAACTAGAGGTTAGCAAGTACAAAGAGTAGGCATGCACCTACCTTGCTTTTCTGTTTTGCAGTGACCCCCCCCCCCCCCCCCCCAGATCCTCCTAAACAATAATGTTTTCCACAGCTGAAACCCTTTCACCAGAAGTAACTGATGTGTACAAGCTGCTCCAAGTTAGGAGCAATTGACTGGCATTTTACAGAAGATGTTAGGCAGGACCACTGCTAGACAAGGGCATATAATGGCTCTTGGAAAGCTCTCATGAGGGAAGGACACTTCAGCTTTACCAATTGTGGTTTCACATTTGATAAACTGATCAAAACCAACTCGACTACTTCGTAATGGATTGAAGAACCCTTTGTTCAGGGCTTTTGTCACTGATACTTGAAATCCTGCAGCAGTGTGATCATTCCCCTTTAGTGAGCATGGAGTCCTGCCTTTGCAGAAGCTGTACTGTAGTTTATCAACATTAATTACCACGGAGTCGCTCGGATCTGAAGTCACAGGCACTTAATGAGTATGGATAACCACACCCTCCAATTCCAAGGTCTAGAACTCCAGCTGCAGTTCATGGCTTATGAACTCTTCTACACAAAAAGCTCTTTTCAGGATACTAATTATTCATATTTTAAGTTAATGAAACTTCCAACCATCTGCTTATTTTTCAAACACAGATTCTTCAAGCAGCAGAATGGTAACGGAAAAAGATGTTGAGAGCTCTATAACCTGCCAGAAAAAACCTCAGCTGATTAAGGTCAGATAACCGAAGCTGTAACCATTTCACAACAAAGTCTTGCCCGTGAGCAAAACAGTTCAATGAACAATTCAGATAATTATCAACTAACCTTACCTGAAGATTAGCTACAAATTTAATCCAACTGATTGCAGCATATCAAGCAAAGCCTTGACCGTATCGCTGAGGTGAATGCAGGTTTCAAGCTAGTATCTCCTGGTAGACTGCACTATTAGAGCAACCTGAGATGCTAAAGCAGATGGGAGATGAAACACCTAATTTCCACATCTCCCTTCAGCACAAAGCTCACTTACCTTCTGAATAAAGTTCTCAATCTTATTTTGTAGACCCCACCACTTGAACTTGACTGTTACCAATTTGTAAGCACACATGTATGGACAGTCTGTCTGCTTCCCCAGCTCTTTCTGCAAAGATACAAAGACAGCTACTCAGGACTCAGGTCAAATGTTTCCAGGAAAGCAGCTCCTTCAGACATAACCTACAATTGCTCACAATCATCTTGCAGCCTTACACCTTGACTGTCTTCTCACAAAGAGTTTTGTCACATCTTTGCTCATCCTTTTGGCAGCGTACCCAGGAGCACAATGAAAATAAACCCTATTACCTCTATAGGTACCTCTACCTCTTTTCCCTCCATTTTGAACAGACACTATTACTTCCTTTCCTTTGTCCACTATTTTTTTTCCCTATTAAATTTGTGACCTACAAATCTTCACCATTACGATGTGGCTACTTCATTTCCTTAAAAGTCTTCTGACAAAGTCTCTGTCTAAAACTTTTTGGGAACCTGTGCAGATTGCATCAGCTGGGTTGTCCACAAAATCATGAAGCCTTAAACATTAACAAAAACAACAACTCCACAGGGTTGGTAAGGCAGACTTTCCTACTTTCTGTTACAAAAGCTATATACATTCTTCCCAAGCAGATCATATCAATCCCAACTTCTGTTCTGCATGCATACTAGAGATTAGATTACTAGATTACTAGAGATTAGGCTTGCACACCTGCAGCTCCGCAGATTCCATCTAAAGTCCCTTTTAAATACTGCTGTCATATTTGCCCAAATAGAGTTTCTAGATTATAGGAATTGAAAAGAAAGGTTGAACATTGCTGCTCGTAACTCAGCTACTTCATTCTTGAATTCTCCTGGCTGAACTCTTGTGCTGAAGAACAGACAGCTCTGGCAATTTCTTAGAATTTATTCTATTTGTACCAAATTTTTCCATTTCCTTTAACTTCAGAACAGGTTATCAGCTGAGGTCAGCATTTCACTCTGTGCAAGTGAAATCAAACACACTACAAACATATCTGTGGCCCTAAACCCCAGTATAGGTACAAGCAAACTGCTGTGGTTCCTGAAGTCATGCACAACATACCTTCCAGTTGGGACCCAGAGGTCCACGTCCAGTCTTGACAGATTTAAATTTTGCTGGATCTTCCTCTGCCTTGTAATCCTATTGGACAGACACACAAGATTAAACAAATCACCCTGCTCACAGTCCCACGGGATGTGGGATTTTTCAGATGGGCAAACATTAACTTCTAGCTGCTTTCTCAAAAGCTTCTGTTTTCAGACTTTAACATCAGGTCAGGCACTCTTCAAGAAAACACTTCCCCTTGTGCAGTGCCCTATATGTATGTGAAAAAGTGGTACTGAACCAAAATGACCTTTGTAAGAAGTCCTTCGTAGTAACACCAGCAGAAGATAAGCAAGCTCACAGGACAGGTTTCCTGTAATTGCTTTTCTTTGGAAGCTAAATACTGCAAGATATAGCTATGCACTCCAGAGCTGTGGTATCTAGTATTTTTCACAGCACCATGAGTTTGACGACCCTGTGATGCACACTAGGTAACAAGCACAGTTAATGTCACAACCACTACCAAAAAGAAGGGGGCATTAGTTACACCTTCTATTGCAGAGCAAATGTTTTGCAGCATTCCCTTCATTCACAGTGGATGAAGGCTGAGGTATCTATCCGATTCCTACCTCCATTCCAACTGAAATGAAAACAAACTCAAAGCCTCATCTGTTCAGTGCGAGAAGTGACAAACCAGCAGCATCTTCTACAAGAGTCTTCAGCTTCATGTAAACTTATTTGCTCTCACAGCACTAAACTCAGAGTAGTTGGTATTTGCAGATATACCTTAATAACAGCCTAACCTACTGGAAATCAGTTGCTACTTGTGTGCTACCAATTCATTTCTACTGGAAAGAAAAACTAAAAATACTGGATTTGCTTTAACACCCAGAGGCAACTTTGTGAGCAGGTAAATTAGCCACATTTGAACTGTATTCAGAAATACTAATTAGGAAAACCTCAAATAGCATTCCATCTTTACACATGCTTGTTGTTTGGTTTTTTTTTTACTGTTTTCCTCCAGTAGAATACAGAAACATCCCTTAGCTTATTATAGTATCCATAGTGATTCTTTGAATGAAGAATTAGCTATATAATTTCAAGACACCAGTGTGAAGCCATAGGTCAGTTTCAAAAAGGAGATGGTTTAAACAAGATGCCGCATAGAAAAGGCAGTGCTGTTTTTTCTTGTTCAGCACTGTAATCAGCTGCAGCGCTGTAAAGCTACACATAATACACTGTTACATGTACTACAAGGCCAAGCAACAGATTTTACAGACAATCTGGACAATGCTTTCAAAACAACTCCTCTTCTAGATTGCTTTAACATGTTTAAGGAATGCCTTCCTCTTTCTTTTATCCTTATTTGTTCTGTAACCTGCAACCACCCCCAGGAACACAGTTCATACATTATCCCTCTTTTAGCACAAGGCCTCCCACACCAGGGAGCTCTTACCCACCTACCATACCTTGGGAAGTACTTGAGATCGATCAGCAATATCTATGTAAATAGCTTCTACATTCTTCCATACATCTGGCTCCAGTGTATGAACCTACAGCGAAAGCACGAGAGTGATGTCATTGATTCAGTGACAACATTCCCATTCTGAGGCAATAAAAACCATATGGGGAGGCAGACATGGACTGCTCCTCCTTCATGTATACACAGTGAACGTTCAGTATCTTGTAAGCAAGCAGAGGTGTTCACACAGAACAAGGGTCTGGGGACAACTTAGCATATAAGCAGGAGTCTCTGCTTTGCTAGTGCTACATGCACTTCCAACCCAGGAACACTGCTAATAGTTCCATGCAGCAAGCCTCTAACCTACCAAGGAAAGCAGCACTGTGATATTAGACATGAATAAAAGACGTGATACAAGTACTTACATTTTCTTGCGTTCCAAGATCTGATTTATGCCAGGTTTCAATTTTGATCAGGAAGTCATCCTTCATATATTCATTCTGTCATCAAAAGAAAGCTTCTTATGATCTTTGCATATATAACTGGTCTTCTTATTAGCTACGTAAGCAGCAGGAAAGTCAACTCAACATGTTAAAACTTGACTGGATTTTGACATAGGGAACATCAGGTTTTAGCTGTAAACGCATCTTGTTTTTAGAAAAGTTGTTTGATCAACAAATAACATAAAATTAAATAAACCTCAAGTTGTTCAACAACAAAAAAAAAAGCTGAACTTCCATCGTTTTAGTGAAATATTTTGAGTTTTCCCCCTATGTGCTAAAAGCTTTTATTGAAAGGGGAATTTCTACTACTCTAAATACAATTTAGAAGGGGTACCATGAACTAGGCAGAAACTGCCTTTTCAAATGCAGTATTGCTCTAGCATTGAGTATATATTTGGATGCAATTCTTCAGTATTAAACTGATGTGTTGAGAGCTTTTCACTCTGTGAAAGGAAGGGACAAGAAGCACAGTTTTCCCAAGTAAGCAAAAACACTTTCCATTTCTCATTATTGCTGTGAGCAGAACAGGACTTCCAAAAGTAACCCTATCCTCCCTCAAGGGATAGAAATAAAAAGAAGCCTCTGAAACACTCAGCACTTAAAAAGGAAATATCAAATTCAGAAGACAGATTACTTGGACATAATGGCACGAGCTAGCTCTTCTTTTTTAAACAGTTCATTTGGGCAATGGTAAGTTCCCATGTGTAAAGTTAAGATTCATTGCAGTAAAGAAGGATCTCTGTCCACTGTTACAAAGAATTTGTGGATGTGCCACAGCTGAGAAGGGGGGGTCTAACCTACATGATTGTATAACAAAAGCTAAAATGCCTTTAGCTCAAGCTAAAGAGCTTCTTCTACCCAGAATGCTTCATTTCAGATGCTACTACGCATGCTTCCACAGATCATCAGTAAAAACAATACTTACTGTAATAACTGGTCCAAGAAATCAACACATGAAAAGAAAGAGATACAGTACTTTAGTGAAAAAAACACCATGCAACAACCAACACCCTCCTCCCACTATCAGCAAAACAGGGACACTTCAGCTTCCCATCTTCAGCTTAAGCAGCAGACACTATGGAAGTGAAAAAACAACCCTAGAAGTACAAATAAATAAATAAACAAAATAGTAAACTTCACCCCCTTCTCCTCTGGAAATTCTCAGACTTGGAGACACCCAGAGGAGCAGCAATTAATTATGTACTGCCACTTCTGCTCTCTGGAGTACAGCCAGCTGGATGAGAAGATGGAATAAGTTTGTTCAGCTGACGGCATTTTACCAATCCTTTCTCAGCTTGCAGATAAGAAAGCTCTTGCAGTTCTGAAGCGAACACACGCTGGATTTCAGGCCAGTGCAGACCTCATCACTCCTGCATGCAGTAACCAGACCCTCTGCATCTCTACTGCTCGTGGTAACTGAGCTCCCTGGATAGTAAGGCTCAATTATTCAACACAGAATAGCAATTAAAGATCCTGTGACAGTCAGCATCTGTCCTACCTGAGCCACCAGAGTACGTTACCAATTCAACTCTAAGAACGTTTGAAGCTGGCGCTGAACTTTGGTGGTTTGTTCTGAAGTTTGACACGAAGACTTCACTAAGGAGTAATTTTGTTGCAAATACATTGTTTGAATTTATGGCTTTCCAACCCAACATACTGCAGACAGCACCTTATCACCTATCGCACACATCCAACTCTCCTCATCGCCTGTGCTGGGGCCTTGGGCTGCTTTAAAACCTCAGCCCTTTGAAGCTGTTTTTTGTTTTGTTTTTTTACAGAAGGCTGATTAATTGGGTTGATGAGTTGGGGTGGTGAGAGAGGATAAGCAAGCAGAGCTGGGGCTAATTTTTAAATGGCTGAATTTCCTCTTAAAGAACACCACTCTCTCCTGCTAGTCCACATGAAACACTGAATAAACCAGCAAAAATAAGCCAGAGCCTTCCCACCTTCCCATGACAACCTGCTCTTCCACAGCTATACAACATAATTAGCAGCTGCTTCAGAACAGATTTGTTTGCCTTCCTAATTTCTCTTCTACAGGGAAGATTTCTCATTTGTATGGTGAACAAATGAATCTCCTCAGAAACAGACATTAGAACTTGGATGCTCGAATTGCTACGAATTAGAGCCTGAGGTGTCACAGCAACAGTGCCTACACATCCCAGCTTCACTTGTATCTGTTGGGTTTCTTGACATTTGACCATAGAAAACTCATGCTGACACCCAAAAGAGTGGAACACAAGAAATTGCTTTTCTAAAAGCAATTTAGAAATTGCTTTTATTTAAGGTATTATTTAAATTATTTATTATTTATATTTGTGATAATTAATTATTTATTAGGTATTATTTAAATGACACCAATATCTAAGTCAGACTGCAGGAAAGAACCCAAAACAACTCTATTCTCCTTGGCAGCAGCCCACAGTTATAACTATTGGGCATTCCTCACTTCATTTTTACTTAGTAAATGTATACAGCAAAATCTCATGTTACATTTGCTCAAAGGACCAAAGCAAGGCCTCCATTCAGAGCACTTGAAAACAGCTCACTACAGTGCAAACAGCATGGAGAACTGCAGAAAGTCACAACAGAAGTGTTTCGGTTTCCTCAATCTGCAGCCCTTCTTTGACATTATATTTTATATATATATAACATTACATAATATGTATATTAAAGTAGTAACAGCTTTTCTGAGGATATAGCACAAAATGTAGGGATGACCAACTTGACTAAAAAATAACACTGTGATGAACTGTTAATAAAAAGTGCTGTTTTATTCAAACTTAAAGGGCTGCATGCAATGGCTCGTGTGCAAGCCAGCAGAGCAGAGCACACTGATATTACCTTGGTGCAGGAGGACACGTGCACAAGTACCACTGAGTCCTACACTGGCAAACCAGGTTTAGCTCTTTATGCAGCCCTGGCTCTTAAGCTTCAAATTCCACTGAGAGGACTGAAAGCCACACTAGTTGCTGGAAGCCAGCACAGCACTTTGTGTGCACAAAGATTCAGAGGCCATCACCACTGGCCTACAGCACAAATACCTGGCTGTACAATGACAGTGCTGAAGGCAGCCCACACCACACACGGTGGTTTCTTCCTCCTGCCCAGTGCTAGCAAGTGAAGGTTTCTGCAGTATTTCTGAGCTTTTCTTGATTCATGTCATGCTGGCAAATACTCTAAACAGATTTTTCAGCCTCCGCATAAAAAACTGCCTTCTGCTCCAACCCTCACATCAATACGCTTTCTATTTCATATTGTATGGGTGTTTATTACAGTTATGGGTGTTTATTACAGTTAAGGTTTTCTTATTTATTTATTCACTTGTTACACTGTTATTTCTAGCATACCAAAACCTAAAATCCTGTTGACTGTGATAGGAAGTCTTGAATGCGACTTTGGTATTGCATTTCTTCCACCTACGTGGAATTATAGCAGTGTGGAATTGCAGGAGAAGCAGCTAGGAGTAAGAAAACATGATAACTCCACACCTTTGTATCAGAAACAGGTGGAGAAGAAGAGGAGGAGGGGAGTATAGATAGCTATTACGTCTAACAAAAAGTCTATTGAGGTCAACTTAGATCTACTTTTATGGTTTAAAGAATTTGAAAGAACTGTTTAAGTTTAAAGCAGTTCAGTGTAGTTGGCTTGGAAATAAAGTAGGGACCTACTAGCTAATTTAAGTAATATGCAGAAAGGAAATCCCATAAAAGTGAGAAAGCTGGGTTGCAAATAAATGTGCTTCAGCATAATGAACAAGGAGAACGTTAAAACCTCATTCTGCAGTTGACGGCAGTAACTGAACTTGATTTGAAACATTCATTCCACTACCGCTGCTGTAGGTAAATTCCTGCACTGAAGTAATACTAACCTCCCCCACCACAAAGCTTTTTCTTTCTTTTAAAACAGTTCATTTCAAATTCTTTTAAGTTGCTGAAAAAGAATGTATGTTTCTATCCCGAGTTTCAAGAACAGCTGGAATTTTTAAGTTTACAGTTCCCATTGCAATCACATCTCTGCCAAATAACAGAAATGCATCCTTCAAAGATACAATCCTAAGTTTGGAGACAAAGTTAAAGTTGCAAGTCACACAGCAACAACAGTCTGAAAAACATCAGTGGTCAAAGATTGCAGCTGACAACTTCAGTGAGTAAATAAAACATCCCAGCACTTTGCACAGCCCCAGGAGCCTCAACCCAGAGTTACAATGTACACTTGCTGGATGATCTTTGGATAAGTGTCAAGGTCCCACCCTTAAACAACTGTAGCATTATCTGTTATCACTAATCTTAGATCCCACAGTTAAGAGAATATCAACAAGGTGACACCAAACTGCACTGAAAAGACAAAATGCTTCCCTGTTTCACCCTCGCCTCTTTTTTTTCCTCTCCATTTATTTTCCACCAGGCTACGCTGTGTCTGAGTACAGAAGAGCTCCTCACACACCCATTTCAGTAGTGTTGCACCGTTGTTTCTTTGGTAGGAATAACACCCCTTTCTTGGTCTGCTCTTTTCCAGTAATGAAATGTATACACACTGTCATCCAGCAGCAGCACAGCAGACATGGAGCTTTCTTTCAACTCTGCAGCCCTGTATTTTGCTTTTCCTGACCACAGAAGGGATGTAAAATATAGAAATCTAAAATCTGACACACTTTCCCCTACCGACTGCCTCCTTCCCTCTTCCTTCCTACCCACCTAAAACCAAGCAACCAAAAAAAGACCCAAAAGCCAGTAATCCACAGCCCTTCCCCACACACTCACCAGTTCTGCAGTAGGGATAGGCATTCCAAGCTTTTTCATGTATATTCAGAGCTCCTTCAGGGGCCAGCATTCTCACAAATGTTGGCACTTTGCTGCAAAATTTGGAAACAGGAAGGAAAGCTTTGATGAGAACTGCATGCAGCAAGAGCTGTGGCCCAGACAATGCAAGATGTGCATAACATCACCAGAAATACAGATCCTAGAGACTCACACACTGCTAGAACTGGTGTTGTTCTCTTCAGCCCCAGTGCTGGGATTTCCAGTCACTGATGGCGAGGTTAATTTAAACCCTATTTACATAAGAAAGAAACAAAAAAGAAAATACATAGGCTGAACACAAGTTGATATCTAGAAGGCATTTGATCTTTTGTTAAATTAGCATCAAAATACTGGGTACCAGAATTCCATTTGCTTTAAAAAACACACAGATTTTCTTGGGAACAACAGCCACAACTGCCTACAGCAGCAGGTGGGTGTTCCAGCAATGCTCTCTTCCAGCTGTACTGTGTGCCAGCTGTTGTTATGCTTTACTTCCATGCCCTTCAGCCCTTATAAAATCTATAGTTTATACAGTTGCTGCAATCCCATCCCATCTTCCTCCTCTTGCTTTTGCCTTTTAATCCTGCTTGCCTCTGGGAATGCTTCACATACCTCTGTAAGTGGTAGATCTTGTGTGTGTACTGCCCACGCTCTCCATCTCTCTCGTAGGGTTCATTCACCAGGACCTCTACTCCTTCACCTCCACCAGTTTCATTTTTACTGGCTTCTGCCACAGAATACAGCTGTCCCACTTGATACTAAAGAAGTTAAAGACACGTTATTGTGGTTGCTACAATACAGCAGAAGTTATAATAATCTTACTAGAAGAAGTCACGGATTAACTTATTTTCTTGGGAGAAGGCAGGGAAAAGGACATCCAGCTGTGTGTCCACATAAGCACCTCACTTCATTTCATGTTGATATAAAAAACCTGAGTGGTAGTAAGGAGAAAAGCACTGCAGATAAGAGAGCTACCTTTAACCCTTAAATCTCAAACTCAGAACAACACAAATTTAGGAAAATGTAACATGGATGAAAGGAGCATCAGGACAACACTGAAAGAAAATGTAGGAGGTATCATTTATTTTCCTTCTTCACGCTTTGGCACACAGGTGTCCCAGTTGTGCAAGTCAAGTCAAAAAGAGAATAATACACTGACAGTCCTAAACTAATAAACACATTTATTTATCCCAAAGAATTCCTTTTTTTTTTTTTCTTTTTTTTTTCTTTTTTTTTTTTTCCCCACAAAATGGAGTGTAGGAGGGAAGGTAGGAAAGAACCGAAGACAGAAGACACAAAAGGCATCTTGTAGGATCTACTTTATGTCCTCTAAGATACAAATGTTAGATGTGCAAAGTTTCAGAGCCCAGAAGAGCTAAAGATGAGGATCCTGCAAGTGCAATTCAGCACAACTAAGTTAGCAGCTTGAAATCAAGAGGTGCTCTGCACCAGAAAGGTTTCCAGTAACGTGCTACTACTTCTTAAGGCTGAATATGGTGAAATTACTCTTCTTAGCCCTCATGATGTACCAATATACTCAGAGCTCTCTTGTCAAAATTGACCCCAATCACATCGAGTCATTTGTCTTCACTGAATATCTGTTTCTCTTTGAGTCTAGTTCAAACTCAGTTTTGTCAGGGCTTCCATAATAATGCATCTTCTTTCTTCTCAGTTGTGTTGATCCAAATCCATTAGAAATCAATTAGCAAACTCATTCTGAAAACTTCATTTAATGAAATAACTGAATCAAGTAGTGACCCACGTGACCCCTGCTCTCACTGTACCCCTCCTATTTTTCCTACTAATTTTGTTTAGCGTGGGGGTTTGGTTTGGTTTCCCCTCTATGTCACACTTCCCATTAGTCAGGAGCATTAAGCCACTAACAGGGAAAGAACACCATTTCAACACACAGTAAAATTCTTATCTTTCAGATCATTTTTTAGTCACTTACAGACACCCTTTTGGCTGTATTAATTCTCAGAAATCACTCACACTACTTCCTGCTGTACAATCTCTTTCAGAAGAAGCATCCACATGTTTCAGAGGGAAGAGCAGAAGAAAATCAAGAACGTGTAGAAGAGAGAACATTCTCCCATCTGCAGAAGATGTGAAGACCAATACGCTCCTGCCTCTAGCTAAAGAGGATGCAGAGCCCCAAAAAAATGTGCTGAAAAGAAGAAAATTCATGCAGAGCTTTTTGAAGAAAAGTCAGGTGAGCAGACAAGGCCTGAGAATGAAGTTAAAACAAAAGGTTGAAGGGAAGTGCTTGAAACAAAAGCAGTTTTCAGAACGCAAAAGCGATCAAACCAAGTGTTGCCAACAGCAGCACAGGGAGGCTGTGTGAAAGGGTAAACCACAGAGACAGACATCAGAAGTGCAGGGACAAAAAGAAAAAAAAGGTCTGAAAACTTTACCACAAAGCAGTGGAATTCTGCCTAGGCCTTCTCCCATCTCCCTACAACAAGGCTGTGCACAAAGGATCAGGAATGGCACTTAACACTATACAAGGGAACTCAAGCTGGAAAAGTGGAGTACTACTCAGAGCTGACAACCCAGAAATGCATCACTAGGCTGACACACCTCCAGTGGCTATGTTTCATTGTCAGAGCACCTCAAATAAAAACAGAAGCCAAGTTCTGCAGCTTTTGTACCAACTAGTGCTAACAAAGGCTGTATTTCCAAGACAGTGCTTACTCATATTGGGAGAGTAGAGATATGCCAAAGGTACGTTAGATATCCTGGCCTCAGCTAATGTGGAGCAGAGCAAAAATCACATTAGAGGGACTTAAACAAGGGCTCTATGCAGACTCAGACTCACCACAGAAGCATGTTAGGAAATTTAACAGGTAGTCAGCCTATCAAGAGAAAGAAAAAAAGGAAAAGCATTCATCCAACAAAAGCAGTCTATAGGAAAAGCAATCTACAGAGCACCTCCTCCTAGCTCAGAGCTACAGCTGCATCTCTCCAGAAGGAGGAGGCCAAGCTGTGCAAGCACCCCTCACTTGGCTGGGTGGTTCTTGCACTGACACCAGCAGATTGGGTTTCAGTCTGGATTTTGGACTGCAGTGTAACTCTCTGCCTTCTGACATTTCATGCACTACACTGATGATTCCCTGCAGATGACCCACAGAGAACAGAACATCCACCTTCCTCCAGAAGAGCAAAACATGAGAGTTGTGAAATCTTAGAAGTAAGCTGACTTAGTAGGGTAAAAGCCACACGTACACTCATGGAGAGGAGAACATGAGTTTGGCAACTACAGCACTAGAGGGGCAGACTGCTTTGCAGCAAGTCTCAGGACAGGTCTCCTGAGGCACAAACTAATTCCTCTTAGTAACAGTTTCTCATTCATTCCTTCTCCCTCTTAAATACATGGGTCAAAGTTCAGACTCTAAGAGGATAAGCCCTTCGGTTGGGCGTCTTCAACATTTAATCTTCACTGTTATTTCTGATCCTTTAATCGCATTGATAGAAGAGGAAAAGGCCCAGATAAAACTGTCCCAATGAACATCTGCTTGTGAAAATTAACAGAAAAATGGATTCTGGCTCCATGAAGAAGGGAGCATCAGACAGACGTATCCTTTCAGCCCTGAAACATCTCTCCTGCAGGAAGTCACCTCCCTCAACGTGTGTCACAACACCTCTTATAGAGCAGACAGCATATCTTCTTCACACCAGATTTCATTCAGAAGGCTTGATCTCAACGTAGCCATCTTCAAGAACAGTTATTTTCCTGAAAGCAGCTTTGAAAACAATTAATAAATAAGAGTCTTTTGTGTTTGGCAAGCTCTTTCCCACGTGAGAGGAACAGAGAGGCAGCACAGAATGTGTACACACAGCTCTAATCCATACCAGCATTTCCAAGTGGCAGCTGGTGAGACACCCACACAGCAGCTCAAGATCTTGCTCTCAAAGTCAGCACTGTGCAACACAATGCTGGTCAGAGAAAAGAAGAGTATAGGTAAAGACCTAAGATACAACAAGATATATACCTTTTTTTTGTTCCTCGTAGTACAAGAATGTCTGAAATAACACAGGAGAGCAGCTTGCAGCCTGCACTTATGCAGGACCAAATTTTGGCAGAGTTTCCTAGCAAGACAGTTTGCTATGGTCTAACTCCTACACCCAGCCTTCAAGTTTTAGTCATCACCAGGGACTCTCTTGCACTGTTTTATTCCCCATCGTAGCAGTTGCACATCTAGCTATTTTTCACTGAACTCTAGATTTATTAACACCTCTCCACTATCTTTCTGATCACTGCTTTTGTCTTGAATTCCTTACTATCAGTTAAGCTCCATTTGTTAGGGGTGAAAGGATTGAACAGAAAATCCCTGGCATATTATGGAACAACACAGAAGACTGCCTCAGCCCTATTACAATGCCTTAAAGACACAACTGTTCTCATCCCCTACATTATGTATGAGCACCATACTTCCAGCAACAATTTGCATGCTGAAGGAGTGAACTTCTCAGTCTCTCAAGTAAAAATTCCTTCTATTACATCTCCTAGAGACAGAAACGCTCCACGAGGAGCTGCACAGCAAAGAGCCACAGCAAGTCTCCAGAGCCCTGCTCAGAGTTCTGCAAGCAAGGAAATTCTTGAAAGCAATCAAGTTGGAACATGTGTTTTGTAGTACAGACAACAGAGTAGTGACCAAGTGATGCACAGATGTATCAGCATCTCTCTGCACAGGAAGGAGGATGAAGATACACAGACCCAAAGCAGTAGTCATTCCTTCAGTTAATATGGAAATAAACCTTCTTAAGCATGCCCTTAAAACTACCATATGATGCAAGTGCATGTGCAAAGCTTAGTGAATGTAAGAACTTTCTGCTTAGGGAACTGCTTCCTGAAACCTAGCCTACAGATCACATGAGAACCACCAGATCTTGGAAAGGGAACACAGTAACAATATATGAGCTTGGGGAAAAACGGCATTTAGTAAATTGGTGGATTGTCCTCATCCCAGCATACTGAGGTGTTCCCTCCAGAATTCTCATTTCTTCTCTTCTAGCAGTATATGCACTGCATTTTGCAGACTTTTCACCATGCTCAACTCTCTGCAACTCCTTGGATCCAGAGGAGAGGAATGACCTCAGAGCATCCTCTGAGAAGGAGGCTGCAAGAGAGCAACGCAGTTACATACAGCCTGTAAACCCAGTTTCCACAGAAGCAGCCTGAAGACAAGGCTGAAAACACGCCTGGCACTGAACAGCCAGCAAGGGAGGGAAAAGAGCACAGTGAGGGACTCGCTTTAACTGGATGAAGTTTAATCCCAGTATCAGAGAACTCAGAAAGATCCTGTGCTGGGTTCCATCCAATCTAACCCCCTCAAAGAAACAATCTGTATACTGATGCTATAACTTGCTCATTGCACAGCTTGATACCTAGAGGCATATCACTATAAGGCAGAGCTCCTGCTAAGGACTTCCATTTATCGAGCTCTGCAGTACCTCACCATTTAGACACAGCTTTCTTAAACGCTTCCTCTGCCTCTTGCAAGTCTGCATTCCTTGTTTACCTGCTGATGTTTGTGTTAGCCCATCTTTTGGCAAGGACTTCCTCACACAAGCAGCATTCAGGCACAGCAGAAGATCTAAATATACATACCTAATACTTCAGTAAAGCTTCTGTTAGAATTGTTTGAAACAGAACCATGCAGAAAACATATAAGCTATAGGTATGGAGTACACCACAGGCAGAAATTTGGTATGTCCCAGTCCTGCATCAAGATAATATGCAGACCTAAAATAATTTTGTTGACAGGCCTAGATTGCCATCAGCATGAGATGCCTTCCTGAGCCACAGGAATATGAAACTCAGCTTAGATATTTCCTTTTTACCAAGCAGTCTCACGGTTGCTGAAACTGCACCAAGATCTGAAGTGTGCTCTGTCAAAACAGTACGGAACTGACAAATGAGTATGCTTAAAACAGTGCTGCCATGATCCAGCTTACCACTTCTGTACCATATCCAGGGAAAAGACAAACAAGAGTCCTGTTTCTGCAGCTCCTCCTAACAGTTAGAGCAAGGCCTTCATCAGGACTTGCAAAAAAACAAAACAACAACAACCTTTCTACAGACAGATATCCTGCAAGAGCAGTGTTCAACACAGAAGAGGAAAGGGAAGCTGCAACTCCCAGAGAAAAGAGCAGAGAATCAGCTACAGATTCTGCACAGCTATTCCTTGGCTAGCTTGGCAATCAAAATCACTGCCTGCATTATAAATGACATTTCTCCTTTCAATTAGAACTTTACATAAAGAACAAGAAAGCTTTCTTTCTGCAAGATCTAGAGAAGAGTTTTTAAAAGTGCTATGACAGAGATACAATCTTTCTTTTGCTATACCACCCTCACAGAACAGAAGAATTGATTTCAATTCACAAAGAGCAACAAGAGAGTTCTAGGAAAACACAGACCAAAGTGTAATTTAAATTTGTATTAAAGCTTTCTCTTCATGTTAAAGAAAAAGAACAATTGCATCAATTAAAAGGAAACCACTTCAGAACAGTCTGACAAGTTGAGATTTATCATCATATCCGGACGTACTTCATACCTCAGTCTTAAGAAATGAAATTATTTGATCGAAACACAGTGAGTTAAAATCATACAGAAGTCCTGAAGTTGGTGTATCTGTTTCGTGCGTTTTCCAGCTTTTGTGCAAACTGCTTTGATCACAAGTTTATTTACAGCCCTAGAGAAAGGAAGCAACAAGAAAAGGACTCACCTCCTCCACAGACACAGGCAGGATAACACGGCTGAAAGAGAACACAGAAACAAGAAAGTTAACAAATACAGCCGCAACATTTAGAGGGCACATTTCTCACAGCAACAACCACACAGCTCTCATCTCCCCACATAACCCCAGTGTCCATCTACCACCAGCACCCCTAGCACATAACCCCTACTTTCAAGACTGTTTATGTAACAGAAAATCACCGACATGATTTGGCATAACTGCAATCCTATGCTACAGCTAGTAATGATATTCTACCACCCTGCAAGTCCACGCACAATCAAAACAGTTGCACGCTCCTTCTCACGACATCCTTTCAGTAGTCACGTCTTAATTCTCTTCAAGTTGCTGAAGAGCACTGCTAAGTGCTTCAAGAGTTTTGTACAGATTTGTCTTAGTTACAAGTCGTGGAGGATTTGTTTATATGTCCTGTGCCATAGGAAGGAACACCACACAGAGAAGTACTGGGAGGCTTTCTCAGAGCTGACCGCAAAGGAAGGCGCCGCCATTTCTACATGTGAGTCACTGCGGTTTCCTGAACGCCTCTTCGAATCAACTGACTCAGGTCTGGATGGTTTTGCTCTGTAGACCACTGTGATTTCTTGAAAATACAAGAATAAATCCAAACTCAAAGCTGACAGATGCATGAACTTTAAGGCATTTTTCTAAAGAGTTCTTATTTTTCCTCTGAAATCAGATTTGAGTTCAACTTCTGCTTTCAGTAAGGATGATGGTGGAACAGGGAACCAGAACAAGGCTCAGATATGAAATGGACACAGTTACCATGGGTAGAAGAAATCTCATTTCCTTCTGAATTAGGATGTATTAGGATATATTGGGATTAGAATAAAAGTCCATTATATTAATAACTGTTTTATTTTTTTTAAACACAACTGGTGAAAACTGAACATTTCTCCTAGGACTAAAGGAATGTTAGCAGCAAGATACCACAAAAGAAACAGAAAGAGGGGTAAAAGTTTAGAGATTTTGCAAGATTTCTTATGACAGCAACTCTTTATGCTGGCTGCGCACTACTGTAGGAAGAGCTACTGAGAATTGCAGATGAAGTTCAGCATCAACAGAAGCTGAATAATACATTACAGGCATTCATTTTCCCCAACACATGGGGTAACAAGCCCCAAATAAGCCATCACCAACATTTATCTTGGTGCTGCTATGGGAAAGCATCTGAAACTATCAGTTCAGTAGTGTTCAAAAAATAGATGAAACATCAGAAATTGAAGCACATTACGTACACAAAGATAAATGACAGTTATGCCACTGTAATCTCTCATGCATCAGCACCAGAATCCTGCATACAGTCCTGCTCACCTCACCTCAAAGAAGGTACAGAACATGTGAAGGGGGACAAAAAAAGATTATGTGAGATGGGAAAAAGCTTCTGTGTGACAACAGAGCAGTTGTATGAGGCCCTTCATCTTAGGAGAAAGGACAGCCAGAGGGTTAAGATAAGGTTGTGTTACAGAGCCACGAATGGTGCTGGAAAAAGAATGGAGAAGGAATGATTGCGTCTTACAGCAGGAACCCAGGTCAGAACAAAAATCATTAGGTAACAGATTTTAAACCAATCAAGTGTGCTTTGTTACATCATGCATATTAAGCTATGCGATTCCCTGCCAAACACAAGAAGTGTAAGCAATTGTAAAACGGGATTTGAACAGTTCATGGAAGTTCATGTGCCACTGAAGAATGATTGCTCCTCTCAGTATTTATACATTGTCTCCTAAAAATATCAGCTAGGAGGCAAGATGGAACAGGACCTTTGGTCCAATTCAGTACGACGTTCCTGACATAGGGGAGAAGTTTAAAATGGGAAAATGGCTTGCCACAGGTAGAATGTGCCACCAAACATGGCACTGGTTAATTGGAGGATTGAAAGAGGAAGGATAGGATAAGCAAGGAGTGAGGAAGGAAAAGTGATGTTGGAATGGATTTCAAATAATGCCTTTTGAAGATCTGGCATAAAAAGATTGATGTAAGCTAATGAAATTTTATGTAAGAAATCAAAAAGCACCAGATCTGAATATTATCTTATAGTTTGATGTTCATCAGTGGAGAAACAGAAACACGAAGAAGTTAAATAGTTTGCAGTTTGTTTTGCCTAGCAAACAAAGAATGCAAGGGATGACCAACATTTATAGGTCATCAAGTGATAAAGGAGGAGGAGGAAGAACTACTACATAGGATCCAGAGAAAGAGCCTCCCAGGAGCAACAAAGAATCCTAAGTTTGGGGCAGAGATGGATCAAATGATGAGAAATGATTACGGCGCGGTTGCCTGCCACACCAAGGGCAGGAAAATGAAGAACACTGAACATGCCTCCTAAATTAAAATATGCCTCGACTGACAGCAAAGGGAAGTTCTGCTGCAGAGAAGGTCAGGGTTGTTATCGTCACTTTGCAGGAAAGGGAAGCAAGTCTCCACGCTCAGATTCTCCTCAAGGTCTTTGATGCAGTTTAAATCCAAACAGAGAGAGCATGCAAGCAGGCAGGACCTCAGCCACCATTTACGAACCTTGCAAGCAAGCAGACAAACAACCATAAAGCTTATCTGGAACACGGCTAGGTATGAACGAAAGATAAGCCCAAAAGACTATTAGGGCATCAAATGAAAACTTCAGAGCTACCACTGCACAACCATCAGTAAAAGAAGCTGCACAAAAAAGACGGATGATGCAGACTGACAATAAAAGATGTGACACCACTTTTTATCATACTGTTCTGTATCCACAGTGTCTCCTCAAATACCTCCGGAACACACAGTAACACCCTTTTGATTTAGCAGGGAGGGGTCACAGAGTTGGAGGAATCATCGGCTCGGGTGACACACAGCTGCAGCTCACTTTTATTTTTATGACTTATGCTGGGCAGGCCGTGAGGTACCTGCATGTACCAGCAATAGGGAATGGCTTTCAGTATCCAGGTCATGCCAACACAATAGTTTCCATATGCCTTGAGCAACTCTCACCCAGAACATAAGATAACAGTCTAAAGCCACTTCTGATAGCATGCAAAATGGGCAACTTTTTACATGCAACGTCAAGGAAAACTAACAAATACCAGCACCAACAGTGACAACTCAGAACAGAGAACTGCTGGAGCTAGTTGGGCATCCCAAACAGTGAGGAATACATGCACGTATGGTTAAGCACAGTTCAACCTTGAGTGTCCTTAGAGCCACGTACATCTTAGAGACACAAAGAACGGAAGGGAGAAAAAGAAGAGGACAATACAGCTCAGAAGATTTGGTGACCCTACTGAAAAAGAAAAAAAGAAAAAAAAAGAAATGGAAGCCTGTAAGAATGAACACATTTAGTAATTCCTGTCTTTTAACCTTCAGTCATAATGTTTACTCTCCACACTTGATCTCTGGAAGAAGCAGAATAAAAGACCAGCAGGTATTTTGATCTGGTGGTGTAAATGATAATTCCAAGTAAAATGACTTTTGGAAGTCATCCTCACCAAAATTAACTTCTCATACACTCAGAAGTCTGAACATTTTAAGTACATATGTTCCATCTTTACCAGATGCCCTGAAGGCAGCACAGCTCACTGGCAAGTGAGCTTTACCGCAGTACAGGACAAGAAATTGAAACTCTAAGCAGAAGCATGAAAACAGATATATGGACTTGAACAGAAATAAACCAGACAGGTACTCTTAAAGGCAAAGTGCCTTTACCAACTAAATTTATAGGAAAACATTCACAAAAAGGATGTTAAAGACATTACTTCTCACGCATCTGAAACTGAGTGCTCAGCTGTGCTTCTGTCTGCTTGCACTACAGAAGGTAACACTGCCTCAGTGTTACACAGACCAGTCCTTGAATTCTACACCCTCATTGTTGGATAAAAATAGCAAGGGTTTAAACATTAGCAAAAAAAAAAAAAAAAGAAAAAAGAAAAAAGTTATTCAAGCTTTAAGACAACTATAAGGATCAGTACAACGTTCAATAGAGTTCTAACATTTAGATCCAGACCAGGTCCACGATCTGGCAAAGCTGCTCTAAGGAAGGCACCATCGCCTAGGTAAATATGTCTAAGAGGACTGAAAGCACATTTTATCATTAGGGTCACAGCTACCTTCCATAAGGAAAAGGGTGGAGGGGGAAGGGTAGATAAGCGCCAGACAAGGGGAAATGGTTTTAAGCTGAGGAAGGAAAGATTTAGGTTGGATGTCAGGGGGAAGTTCTTTACAGAGAGAGTGGTGAGGTGCTGGAACAGCTGCCCAGAGAGGCTGTGCATGCCCCGTCCCTGGAATTGTTCAAGGCCAGATTGGATGGGGCTCTGGGCAGCCTGGTCTGGTATTAAATGTGGAGGTTGGTGGCCCTGCCTGTGGCAGGGGAGGTTGGAGATTCATGATCCTTGAGTTCATTTCCAACCCTGGCCATTCTGTGATTCTGTGGGGGGAAGGGATGGAAGATGTGCAGCAGCAGGCACAGCCTGCAGACACCCAGCCAAAGTGCGTCGGTCCAAAGGAGCGCACCGTGTCGGCATGCATAAAGGCACTGAACAAAAGACTTTGGAAGCAGCAGTGTGACTAATTGCCACACACCGCTGGGAGGGATCCACCAGGCTGTCTTCTATCTCTCTTTTTTCCACCGCCAGGCAGAAAACTGCAGCAGCCTTGGGGAACAGCAAGGTGAGGGCTGCACACCAAATATCCCGATGAAACGCTGGGTCTCAGCTGGAGTTGTCTCAGCTGCAGTTGCCAGCTAGCTGCTAAAGGAGAGGAATGGGATAAAAAACAACGGGGAGGGAGGAAGGGGGGAGAGGAATCGCAGCATCCCATCGAAACGCCGTACCCAGCGGTGACAGACGGCTCCAAAGGCCGCGAGGACACCCGCACCGCCGGTTGTGCTCCCGGGAGGGGGAGTGGGTCACCGCACCCCTCAAGGCAAAGCCGCAGCGATACCCGAGCTGAGGGCACCCCTCAGCCCGCCGTGACCTTCATTCCTTCATTCCTCCTTTCCTCCATTCCCGCCACCCCCGGCGGCGCCGCGGCCCTCACACAGCTCCCCCCTCCTCACACGGCGCCCCCCCCACCCACACCTCAACCCGCAGCGCCGGGCCGGGCCGCCCCCGCACCTCCTCACAGCGCCGGGCCCGGGGGAAGGGGGGGGGGGGGTGAGGGGAGGACAAGCGAGGGGGCGAAAAGAGAAAGAGTCGGGGGAAAAGGGCCGCCCGCAACACTCACTATTCCTTGATGAGCACCATGGCGGAGCCTCCCGCCCGGGACGGCCACGCTGAAGGTGACGGGCGCCTCCCGGCCGCTCCGCTGGACCGCGCCGCACCGGGACGGGGGGGGGAAGGGGGGGGCAGGGCGGCGGGAGCAGGGGCGGGGCGTTTCTGCGGCAACCGCTGCGTCACGGCGCCACGCAGGCGTGCTTACGTCAGCAGCGCGCGCGCCTGGCGGGAGGCGCTGCGTGTGTGGCGGAGGGAGGGGTTGGCGGGTGGTGGTGGTGGCGTTTTCTGTGCTTCCCTCGGGGTTTCCCCCTTCAACCCGCTCCTCGGAGCCAGTCGCTAAAAACACCCTTATTTTGAAGGGAGCCAACAAACGACGCTCGCGTTAGCGCAGAAAGCTGCGTTCCGAGCATTTCCTGCTGGAAACAGGGCTCTGCTGTGGCTGCAGGTGACTGCGATTGCAGCTCCTCGCTGATCCTCGGCACAGCCTCAGAGCAGCATCAGCTGTACTCGGTATTAAGGGTGACCTCAAATTCCGAAAGGCACGTAAAAAAGGCTTTTTTTTTTTTTGTCTCTGTGTGACCTGTGCCCTATTTGACGGAGGAAATGAGCTGAAGGTTTTATAACCTCGTTGCTGAAGCCACACAGAGCGTGGATCTTTATTTGGTGGAGAAATAAACGCTGTACATTCAGCGTTACCAAGCTCACTTATGGGTGACTGAAGCACCTTCCTGTTCTCACCATCGTGTAGCACCACGACCCACAGAGTCATTAAAGTCATTAAGGTTGGAAAAAAAAAAAAAAAAAGAAAAAAAGAAAAAACCACAACATTAAGATCATTGGAATCCTGAAGCATTCTCTCTTCTGCAGGCTGAACAACCCCAGTTCCCTCCCCATAGGACTTGTGCTCCAGACCCCTCACAGCCTCATTGCCCCTCTTTGGACACAGAGCCTCAATCCCATGGAGGGGTTCATCCTTCATATATATATATTCAAACCCAAACATGTTCATCTTCCACCCCTCAATACCGGCTCACCCTGTCTGATGAGCACCAATCTTTCTCAACACTCTCTCGAAATAATTAACAATTACTAAAAACGATTAAAGATCTTCTCTCAGATTGAAATCTTGCTGTTAGCTCCCACCCAGCGAAGAAAAGCACAAGGAAACGTTCAAAGGGCAACCGAGCAACGTGGCAGATGGCACCACAGGAAGCGTACATGCTTACATAGGCTTGTTAGGAAGCAAGAGATGCTTTCAGGATGCCCAGCCTCAGAAGGAAAACTAATGGTTAACTTAATACCACATTTATTTGTAGATAGCACTGTGAGAACGCACATCACCTTACAGACACGTAAAAGGTGACACCGGCCTGCCACAGAGTGCTTACATCTCAGTGCTGACAAACAGGCTATGTAACAAAAATCATGGCAACGAGAGGAGGATTCTGAATAAGTGGGTTATTCCAGGAGTAATAAGGGAGTGGCAGGCATGAGGAAGAGGAGGATGACAGCATGGAGCGCAACACACCTGATAAAAACAGATTGCACAACAGGCAGAGCTGCACAGGCAGAAAAAGAAGGAGCTGTGGGGTTACAGTTAACATGACAGACTGCACCTACAGAACACAGCACTGTTTGAGCTATTTCCAAAGGTGATGATGGTGAAGCATTATCTCGAGTGGCTTTATTTCTATTGTTTTTTGGAATTCCAGTGTGATATTAGCTTGTATTTTGCAGAACTATGCATTTCTGAACAAAGAGGTAGGGGAAGAGCAAAAGCTCTGCAGATGCAGGAAAATAACATTTTAAAAAAGAAACCACTCAAAGGGAACAACAAAACAACAGAACTTGCAGTTTTTAAGATGCCATTCTTTTTCCCCTGCAGTATCTGCTTTATATTTTATGTCGTATTTCCCAAATCCATCAGCCTGTCAAAAGGGAAATCTCCTACTTGCAAACATTTTAGTGATCTACTGTCTTGGTTAAAAAAAAAAAAAAACCAAGAACTCATTATCCTACATGTTTCCTTTGCAGACAGAGGATATTGGCTGGGCTTTGTTGTGAGAGCTGAATATTATTGCATCTCTTGCTGTAGCTTCGCTGTTAAGTTGGACTGTCTGCAAGATATTTTCATATATATCCATATCCAGTTACATCTTAAGGATCCAGATACTCTGACTATAACTGAATATTGTTACAGGTCTCCAAACAAGAAAAAAACAGCACAGGTTTTCTCTGCAATAGCACTGTTGCATTACAACTGTGCAGACTCTTGACGAGGCTTAGGTACTGACAAATTAGGGGCAGGAGAAATCTATTGCCCTTCCTTCCCCATTCAGTTTCTCTTAAAAACAAACAAACAAACCCCAAAACATTAAATGCATGAGTTTCCAGAGACCAGGGGTAAGTGAAGTGGCATTTATAGGTGCCACCACCTCCACACGGTAACATCCCTACAAAGAGCAGGCACCCACAGATCACGTTTCTGCTTCATTACATTCACCTGGGGATGCTTCTGCTCAGAAGATGAAGCTTTTTCCAGGCCCATTCCTTCACATTTTTAATAGAAGTGAGGTGAAGAAAAAAAAAAACAAACCAAAAAAAAAAAACCCCCACAATTCAACAACCTATTCCTATGAATAGGTCGGATGCCTATTCAACAAGGCATTCTAGCCTTTAGGAATAACACACGTTGATATGTATTTAGGAATTACAGGCAAATGCATTATTGATCTAATTAATGTGTTTGGTTGTCCTTTTATTTTTTTCAACAGGGGTGGCTCATGCACACCAAGAAGTGCACTGGGAATTTTCTTAGTCCTGCATCACTTGGCTAGGCAGCAGCGATGCTGTTTTCCATTCCAAATGTAAGGAATTTGCAGTTACATTTCCACAGGCATCAAAGAGCAAGGCAAACTACCCCTGAACAATCATATTTAACAGGACCATCTCAACCAGTGTTTGTTTCTGTAGCATCCAAGGCAATGTCTAGAAAAGGCTGAAGCCAGAATACTTCATCTTCTTGCCCACGCCTACATAAGGTTCAGCATTTAAGCAATTACGCCGCAATTAGCACAGTTGGTGCACATCTTACATGCAGATACAGATTTGTAGATAAGTTTGAGACTGATTTTAAAATTCAGTTCACAATTGTCAGAGTCAGTTAAACCCCACGAGGTCAGATCAGCATTCCACCCAACCCAGCGTATATTTTCCTCTATCTCTGATCACATGTTCTTGGAGACGGAGTGTGCAGAAGAAGATTAATCTTTTCTTGGTGTAACTTTCTTATTTACAGCAACTAAAATCTCCCTGAGTTATTGGATGCATCAAGCCATTGTTCAACGAGTCCCTTGTGTTTAAATAATAACAATAATCTGTTCTCCATCACGTTTCTACAGCAATAAGTTTCAGCGATTGACTTCGGGCTGCTGTGACAAAGCACTCCCATTAGTCTGCTTAACCCTAAACAGCTAAAATTCCTTGTGTACCCACCTGTCCTTAAAACTGCAAGCCAAAGGCACACTTTACTCTTAGTCTAAAACACAGTCTAAAAAACACACGACTCAAAGGCATGAGCTCTATTCTTCACAGCTGACCGGCAGCTTCTACACACTGTGACACATCAGCAGAGACAACAACCACATATACCCAATGTCTTATCAGATGAAACAATATCAGATTAGACAGTTTCCCTAATAAAGGGCAGGAACTGAGAACTGCAGTAGGGAGGTAGATGGCAGGAATAAAAGGGTGCTCTCTGTTTAATTTAGCTACATGCACTTCAAAGGCAGCTGCATCTCCACTGTGCCCTCATGAAAATGTGTCACTCTCTGTACTTCTCTATTTTGCAGAGGCATTTATGTCAGGAATTCAAGTGGAAGATATCATGTTCATTATTTTGAAAAGGAGCTGCTGCTGAGTTAGCACACAGCCGTCCTTCCAATCTGTCTGCTTAGGGATGCAGCTCAGAATTGCTCACCTGTCTGAGAGCTTCTTGAAAAGAAAAAAAAAAGATACGCAATGTCATTGTCATGTAAAATATCTTGGAGCAAAAGTAGAAATCTTTTCCATGTTTTTAGAAGAAGGAAGTGTAATAACACAGAATGCAGAAACCTGCAAAAACCTTCTGGAAATCTAGCAAAGCTGTACTAGTGCTGGTGGGTCTCTGGGCTTGTACCAGGAGAAGAGGAAATCAAACCAAAAGGCTGCCTCCATCATCACTCAACACAAAGGGTGTAAAGCTGGGAACGTGGGCAAATCATCACCAAAGCTAGAGGCCAACAGAAAAATGAAAATCTTCGGAACAGCGTAGTGTTGACAGCAGGCAATAAGGCTGCCTAGGAACAAACACATTTAATAAAGGCAACATGTTAAAAAAAAATAATAATAATCCACAGATGTGTAAAATGTTCAAGTGGCAACTCATTTCCTAATAAGTTATTGGAGACTAAAAGGTACCGTGAGTGGAACACCAACTGAACTGCCACCGGGTGGCCAAGGGCAGCGACTCAAGATGGCGCTGCCGTCCCACACAGCCCATCATCCCGGTAACCCGGAGTTGGCAGTTCAGAAGACACTCCACCTTCATCACTGATTTATTGCTCCCCGCCAACTTCCCTGCAGTCACTAGTTCAGCCACTGCAGTGCTGCACGCAACGTGTGGTGGCTAACGTGAGTCACAAGATACCGAGGCTGAGCTGCTGACCTCGAGGAGAAGGTGAAAGGGAGGAATGTCTACTTTAGGCAAGGCCTAGGAAAACCATTATAAAAATAAGCGGGTTAAGAATTCCCTTTGTATTCCTTCTATGGCGGATGGGCCCTGGGGCACCTTTACCCACATGTATTGCTCTACAAGTCAGCTTCACCATACAGTCGCTCACCATGCACTCTGTCCAGACAGAGCACCGACAACATCGAAGGCTTTTAATACAGCCAAACCAGCAGCTTTTTGGTCAGTCAGAGTAACCTGGTGTTCAGCAGCTTGGAGCCTGTGTCAGAACAACATAGATAAGCTATGGCTAGAGGAAGAATTACTTTGCCACATCACCCTGCCATACATCCACAGGATCCAGTTACCAAACACAAGGAGTGTGCTGCACTCTTGACTCTTCTCAACAAGAAGTCAGCTTACGAC